TTGCATCCTTACCATACGCTTTGCTTTCCATGCTCCTAGAAAATCAAAAATCGACACTACAAAAATAATATAATAATAAAAAATAAAATAAACTAAATTAAAAAAAATAATAATAATAATAATGATAATAATAATAAAGCTGGGTTGCCTCCTAACAAGCGTTTGATTTAACGTCGTGGCACGACGTGAATCACTTTTTGCCTCCACCTCGAGCTTATAAATTGAACCCCAAGTTTTGATTCAAGCTTATGATTATGGTCATGGGGTGGTGGAACGAATCTAACTGGTCCAAGGAAATAATGTAGTATTCTGCACTCCTTGGCCTTTGTATGAGGTATGTAATCCTGACTTTCTGGCAAGAAGAATTCCAGAATATATGCACCTTGTTCCTCATTCCTTGACTCTTCAATTGGTTCGGATGACTCTATTTCCATATCGTTATCCAAACATAATGTGGAAAAATGCTTGGAGTGTGGACCAATACGCTCAAACACATGAACTTCAGGACTTTCAACATCCTCAACATCAATGATACTAGAGTCACCAAAATTTATATCCTCAAAGTCCTTGGCTTGCTGTAGTCTCACTTCTTCAACATTGACATCCTCAAATTGTAGTTGGCTAGGTTGTTGATGTTCTACTCTGACCTCCCCAATTAACACCTCAAGTTCATGCTCTTCTTGGCTGTTATCCTCAATATTGGCTTGTTGAGCATTAAAAGCTCCACCACTTGACTCAATTGAGCCTCCAACTTGCGAATAGTTGCCTCTTGCCTTTCTATGTGCAATTGTTTCTCATTGTTTTGTTCCAGAAGGCACTTTAGCATATCCTTGATCTCCTTCAGGTCCGCATTCCCAGGTTCTTTGTTCCTATTAACTTCACAAGAAAAGGTAGAACCATCATAGTAAGGGGTTGGGGGAAGATAAAAAAATATAAGAACAACCATAAAAGTGACCATTTTTACCACCATACACATCACACACATTCCACAAATAAGATTGAGTTGGTGCACATAACTCGCTCTCAAGAACGTTTTGAAAATTTTGCCACGGGTGGTTTCCTTCACAATATGTATGGAGATCAATAGTAGAATTATCTACACCTAAATTCCCATAATTCCAAGATTTCATGTTTCTCAAATCAACAGATATAAAAAAATACAAAAAAACAAAATAAAATAAAAGTTCAAACTTGAACCCTAGCAATATATACAGCTATAACTACACCGTTAGTTCCCCGGCAACGGTGCCAAAATTTGATCACGCCCAACTCTAGTCCTAAAAAGGATAAGCGGTCGCTGCAAATATAATCCGGTCTAAAAGTCCGGAGTCGAATCCCACAGAGAACTAACGCTTAGCTGTATCTTTTTAATATTACTAAGAAGACAAGATTGAACAATTATCTAAATTATAAAGATTGAGATTTATATTTCTAACTAATTAACTAGCAAATACTACAAAGCGGTAAAATTATCAACTAACGAGACAAAGGGTTGGAGACTAAATTAAGGAGGTCTAGAGTTATGATTTTCCCAATTGTCGGAATCCTTCTAGCTATGTTTCCTCCAATTTCGCCAATGTATTCTCTACCGATCATGAGCGCTCTGCGTGTTGTAATTCTCTCCCGAGTAATTACGACAATTTACTAGGCATACTCTCCCGAGTTACGCTAGCTGACTTTAATTACAGCTTACTTAGATCGCACCCAAGGTTTCGTTATCCCTAATCCCACCTTTAAACCCTTGGTTATTGATTCCTCATATACGTCGGGAGTGATGTTGTTCAACAACTACCTAAATATGGACTCCCTCCCGAGTAATACATACTAAATAGGCACAGCTAATTGAGGGCCCTTCAATCAACCACAAGAATAATATAGTTGAACAAATAGAGAAAATACTACGGCTCAATTATATAAAAACATAACAAGAATTTATCCTACAAAAGGTTCCATCAAAACCCTAGATAGCAAATTAGCTATTCATAATAGTATGTAAAACTACAATACTAAAAGTCATAACCAATAACGAAAAATAGGAAGAGGAAGGAAAAACTCGTTGAAGAGTTCCCCGCTTTGCTCCTATTGTGTCTCTGCCTCCTTAGGTCGAATCTGTGTCAAAAATATGTCCAACCTCTTAAAATACCATTTTTCCATGTATATATACCAAGTAGGGTCGGGCCCAAACAATTATACCTTCTCCTACGCGAAAAAGGACAAGTTTTCAGGCCTGGATGGCCGCGGCCGCGGTGGGACCACGGTAGAACCGCGGTATATGGCAGGTATACTTCCTCAATCCGCCTCAGGTCCGCGGTCTCGGTTTCGACTGCGTATTTCACCCTGTTGCATTTGAAATTTTGAAAAACCTAAAATATAAAAGTTGTAGCCCTCTGAATTATCTTTCCAACCATATATTGTGGAGCCCAAATGGAGTTCTGAGAAAAAAGTTATTTGTATTTTACTAGACAGTGCACAATATGCCTACTCGATTCTTTATTTTGTTGCTCTATCATCCGTTGATCCCCGAATACGATTCCGGCCTAATTCCTTGGGCTTTTACTCAGAATTCAAAGCTCCAAATCATTTGAATTCATTTCATAACATCTATATATCTCGGAATCACTCCTACAAGGCATAAAACACACAATTAGTGCAAAACACTAACGATTAAAGCGCAACTCAACTAAAGTGCAGTAAATTAGAGTGTAATAATCGACTAAAATACGTAATTATGGCCTATCATCAAGTCCACCAAACTATATAGAGACCAGGTCCTATATGGGTTTCCATAGATAAGGCTAATGCAACAGTAAGTAAATGGAACAGGGAAATTTTACGTGGAAAAATCCTTGCTCAATGGGATAAAAAACCACGACCTACACTGGTAGGATTTCAACTTCACTATGAGCAATCTTTAGATTACAACCAATGCAATCTAGGAATTAAACTCTTAATCCCTCACTAACTTGTAATACACTTATTACAAGCCACTTTGCAATACACCTATTACAAAGACATCAACTCATGACTAACTCTAGTCACGGCACAAACACTAAAGGTTTATGATTTACAAGGGGTTCCTAATTAAAGCTTCTAGATAAGCAAAGTAGGAATTACAATGAAGAACAATTATAAAGTTACAACTCAACTGACGACATACAAGAGACTTGTTGTAGGAACTGGTCCGTAGTGGTGTTGTACTTTGTTCTTGATGCACTTGAGAATTGAATGCTTCATTGTCAGATGCTTGGAGTGCTTGAATGAAATCTCAAGTGTTCAAGTGATGTTTTGTTGTAATGTTTATTGTTAATACAACTTGGATGACAGCACTTGAATGATGTAATCACTTGGTTGGTCAATGAGAAGTGACTGATGCACTGTGCTGCACTGTTTGCGTGTATAGTGCAGGCAGTCACTTTTCAGCTGTAGAGAGTTGACTTCATACTATTGTCAGGGGAACCCAAGGGGATCAGATCCCTGTGTTGATTCTTTATCTTCTGAGTCATAGCAACTCACATTAGCTTGAGTCCGTTGATTGAGTTATGTACCAAGTGTATCAGGTTCCTTATCTGGTTCATTGGCAGTAAGTTTGTTAGATCATCAAAACATGAAGCTAAGGTACTATAAACCCATCAAATACTCCAGCCTTTATGCCACAGCATTCCAGTTTAGGAACCTGGGAAAAAGGTTCCTAAAGTGTACGATTAGAAACCCTGTGGTTTTTGACTTTGAGATGGCTACCTTTTAAATTCATCATCCTTGATCATATTTCTGAATTTATGTAGTATATTTACCATACTTAATAGCATTGAAGTGAGCAAATAATTAAGAACAATATTATCATACTAATATTCAAAAGTACCATCCGCGCATCGCGCGGGTTTTAATACTAGTACAAGAGATAAAGTTCAATGGCTATAAACTAATAAACTAAATTAAACATTATAGACAATATATCAAGCTCGCTAATTGAATAATCAATGATAGGGAAAGTGAAGGCGCATTCAGAAAATGTACTTACTGATCTTCCAAAAATAGGACGAAAAAAAGATATTTTAATTTACAGTAGGTCGCAAATTAATTTGTCGCTATGATTGATTTCTTTGTTCTTTAATCTTTAGTAAAACGGACTATAAGCTTGTATTTCTGGTGCTATTTCGAAATATTAAAATTAATCTTCCTCCGTCACCGATCTTATTGGGAGCAAAAATTATGTCACTCTCAATGCTAATATGGTAATTAACAAATTATCAATGCTAAAGTGAACAACTCATTTGCGGGTAATTAACACTAAATTGCAATTGGACTTGAATGAGAAAACATAAGTATCATTATTTCATAGCCACTAACTAGTGATACAAGTCTAACCATACCAATTAATTTCCTCAGACAATCTTAATGCAAAAATTAGCATAACTACCAGTTTTGGTTACAGATGCAGAACTATAAAATATTACACTAAAAGTTAGCCAATTTTTCCTCTTTACATCACCAAACTCTAATTGAACTCATAAACGCACCAGAAACCAAAAGATAAAAACAGAGCAAAAACCTATCAAATCTCAAGAGCTAGTGAATTTGGTAACAGCCTTAGTACCCTCAGAAACAGCATGTTTAGCCAATTCACCGGGAAGGACCAATCGGACGGCGGTTTGAATTTCCCGTGAAGTAATAGTCGGCTTCTTATTGTACCTTGCAAGTCTAGAAGATTCCTGAGCAAGCTTCTCAAAAATGTCGTTGATGAAACTGTTCATGATACCCATGGCTTTGCTTGAAATTCCGATATCAGGGTGAACCTGTTTCAGCACCTTGAAAATGTAGATCTTGTAAGTCTCAATTGACTTCTTTGCCCTCTTCTTCTTCTTGTCTCCGGCTGCGGCGGCGCCGTCCTTGGGAAGTTTCTTCCCGGCCTTTGATGATTTCTCGGCGGTGGGAGCCTTTTCGGCAGCTGGTTTTTTCTCTGCGGGTTTTTTCTCAGCCTTTGGTGCCATTTTAAGAAGATTTGAGGAATGTAAGAGGAGATTAGCAAAGTTTGTAGGAAAGCGAAGGGATTTTGAGTTCGAATTGTGTGAAGGTAATGGTGTAAACAGATTTGTTATATAAGAAGTTGGGGCGAGCTATTGATTGGTTACTTTGGGATGACGCGGATCGTGAGTTTCAGCCGTTTGATGTTTTAGTCAATCAACGGATGACTTGGATTAAATTAATCTCCTCCAACTTTGGAGGGAAAGCAAGATTTTCCCTTTTGTTTTTTTGTTTTTTAAGAAATTTTCATAAAGCACTATCTTTTAGTGGTAATTAGCTATCTATAGATACCATTTGCTATATTATGCCCTGTAGATACTTTTTAAGTTTTTATAAGATGTATTTGATGTATTTAGACTACTGTATTCATGAATACAATAGGAAAAATAGGCGTGAATCATGGAAGTCCAGCTAATCAGTTGTTGTATTCAACTGTATTCAAGAGTAGTATCATTGAATACAGTAACGTATATTCCTTAAAAAAGGGACCTTTCAACTGATTTAAAACGGAAAGGAAATTAATCTAGCAAATAGTCTCCTAATATAACTCAACTAACACAATTATATCACCCATAATCTGTATTTCTCCCTTCATTAAAGATTTTCCATCCGAAAGTATCAAAAAAATAGAGCAAATCGTGGATTCTCAATTCTCCCTTCTTTCTTTTCAGTTCCTTTGTTACAGTTCGTACAAAACAAATTTCAACCAAGAAAACTCGAGATTGATACAATTATATACAGAAATACGTTGAAATTCGATTTTGCACATGACTACATCAATGTATCCCTAAATCACATGAATTTTGTTCCATGGAGTTATTTTTTCCGTTAAATTTAGTTATGGATTTAAATTTACTTATGTCTGTGCAGATTCCTAATGAAGTTGAATAATGAGCGGCCTCCATTGAGCTCAAGAACGGCACCGTTGTTCATGTAACTATTACAGGTATCTCTTTTTTCCCCTAGCTCTCAGTCTCTCCATTGTGCGTTTTTTATTGATTATGTATTAATAATACATAAATTGTTGTGGAGCATTACGCTAGTACAGAACAATTGAATGTAAAATCAAATTGTATGTATATGTATTTAGCTGTATTTGTGAAAGGTTACTTGACCTTCATTGTTGTTCTTTTTTTATTTTTTATGTATTAATAATACATGTATTCTTGTTGAATACAGTGGATCTAACTGTTTTTTATTAAATGTATGTGTTGTATTAAAATGTATGTTTATAAGTATAGGTGTATTCAGACATGTTTAGATGTATAACAGTGTACATATTCGTGTTGTATACTACTCTATATATATATATATATATATATATATATATATATATATGTGTGTGTGCAATAATATATTCAAATGTAGGTGGTGCCATCGACTGAATATTTGCATACGGTGAACGATGAAGGAAGGCATTACACTGTATGCCTCTTAGAGAGAAAATGCAGTTGTGGGTCCAAGTCGACGAATTACCGTGCCCACACGCTTGGGCTGCCCTGAAGAGAAAGTTTCTAATGCCAGAAGATTATTGCTCAGATTATTAAAGACCAAAGTCTGTTGTAATGACATATGAGGTGCCCGTGTATCCTTTGCCGGACGGGAAAGAATGGAATATACCAGCACATATAGCAGATGAAGTTGTATTACCACCCAAATGGAAAAGACCTCCAGGAAGACCAAAGAAGAAGTGTGATAAGCCGTTCATTGAATTGCTGCAGAAGAAAAATCAACATTCGTGTAGCATATGTGGGCAGGAAGGACATAATAAGCGTACTTGTAGAAATGCTCCACGTAGAAATTAGTTCACATTCTGACTTGTATTAATGCAAAACGATTTGTTATTGGAACCGGTTTCATTTCGAATATATTTTGGATATACTTAGTTGGTGTATTAAATCTGAATTCGTAATTAAAATACGACTATTATATCTTCATTATATCTGAATATAGATGAATGCAATCATTGAATACATATGATTACACTCGGTTATATACATAGGATATGATTGTATCATAGGAAATCAGAGATTGAATATGATTTCTGAATATTAAATACATGTATTCAAATACACCTGAATACATATTAATACAATCTGTTATACACGTATAGATGTCTAAATATGTATTGTACAAAGGTCTAAATATGTCACGACCCGGATTTTCCACCCTCGGGAATCGTGATGGCGCCTACTAATGTGAGCTAGGCAAGCCAATTCCTTGAACTAATTACTTCATTATCCAATTATTTCCTTTTAACTATTTTAAAGCAATAACGTAAACAGTGGAAATTTAAATTAAGCGGAAGAAAGCAATAAAATATCTGAACATGTAGCTATTACAACCGATTAAGCCTTAACCACCCAGAACTGGTATCACAGTGTCACAGACGATCTAAGAGTGCTAAATACAAAGTCTGAAAATAAAAGATATACTGTCTCAGAATCAAAGAGATGAAGCAGGAAATAAGTGATAGAGGAGACGCCAGGGCCTGCGGACGCCTGCAGGTCTACCTTGGATCTCCGCGAGGACTGAAGGTAGCCACCCAATCTACAGTCCGAAGTCTACAGCACTGGGATCTGCACAAAAGAGTGCAGAGTGTAGTACCAGCACAACCGACCCCATGTGCTGGTAAGTGCCTAGCCTAACCTCGGCGAGGTAGTGACAAGGCTAGGACCAGACTACCAAATTAACATGTGCAATTCAACTACATACAGCGGAAAAGAAGTACAGAAATAAACAGTTGAATATGGGAGGGGGAGCATGCTGCGGGGGAAATATCAATTCCGAATAGAAAGACAACAGGTAAATGCAAGAAGCAATATATCTCAAATATCAATAAAAGAACCAGAAATCAATAAATGCACGGCATCACCCTTCGTGCTTTTACTCTCGTCCTCACCAAAACAATCAAGTAATGAAAACGTGCACGGCATCACCCTTCGTGCTTTTACTCTCTTTCCTCACCATATAATCAGTATAATTGGCACGGAATGGTACATCGTGCGGCACGGCATCACCTTTCGTGCTTTACACTCTTTCCTCACAATCATACACGGCATCACCCTTCGTGCTTTACACTCTTTCCTCACAAAAATAATGCACAGCATCACCCTTCGTGCTTTAACACTCTTTCCTCACCCAAACAACAATCAAAAACAATAGGGCAAAGGAGATAAATAAAATTTCAATAATAATCCCGGCAAGGGAACAATAATTCAACAACAAGTCCCGGGAAAGGGAACAATAATTCAACAACAAGTCCCGGCAACGGAAATATCAATAAAAGCAACAATAGCCCGGCAAGGGGGCAACATAAAGATCTCTTCTCTTTCTCACTTTTACTTCATAATTCACTTCACAACTCGAGCCACTGCTCTAAAGGTTCACTTATCACTTATACTTTCACAATTCACTTCACAACTCGAGCCAACGCTCCTCAATGTTCATAGGTTACAATTCCTTCCACAAACATTACGCAACAAATAGAAACCATCACCAAGGCATGAAAGATACAACGAAGTCATGATATTCACAATATAAAGACTCACGGGCATGCTAGACACCAACATATAGATACTCGTCACCATGCCTATACGTCGTACTCAACATTTACCACATAGAAAATAGGACTCGACTCCTAATCCCTCAAGCTACGGTTAGACCAAACACTTACCTCGATGCCACGAACACAATTCACGTCTCAAATATCGCTTTACCCCTTGATTCCACCACCAATTCGCTCGTATCTAGTCACAAGTTACTTAATTGCATCAATAAACGCTAAATGAATCAATTCTAAAGCATGAAAATGAGTTTCCTAAAGTTTTACCCAAAAAGTCAAAAATCGCCCCCGGGCCCACATGGTCAAAACCCGAGGTTCTAACCAAAACGCGATTACCCATTCCCCCATGAACCCCAATATATAATTTGTTTTGAAATCGGACCTCAAATCGAGGTCTAAATCCCCATTTTTTGAAAAACCTAGGTTCTACCCCAAAACACCCAATTTCCCCATGAAAATTATTGATTTTAAGTTGAAATCATGTTAAAAGATGTTAATGATTGAAAGAAACGAGATAAAAGTGACTTACAATCGATTTGGAAGAAGAGTTGTTCTTGAAAAATCACCCTAGGGAGTTTGTGTTTTGAAAAGATGTGAAAATGGGTTAAAATTCGTCTAAGTATAAAAGTTGCAGGTCTCAGATGTGGGAATTGCGAACAGGGGTTCGCAATTGCGAACCCCGACCTCTGCTAGGTTGGGAATGCGAAACACCTCTCGCATTTGCAAGTTGGGAATTGCGACTACAGCGTCGCATTTGCGACTCAAGGCTGAAACAGGGGTGATCGCATTCGCGATCAAAACCTCGCATTTGCGAGCAAAGACAGGCGTGGGCTGTTTCGCATTTGCGATCCAGCCTTCGCATTTGCGAGCCAGGCTTCGCAAATGCGAAGCCTGCAGGCCTGGTCACACCAGCTAAAATCTGCAACTTTCCAAGTCTAAAAATCCACCCCGTGGCCTATCTAAAACTCACCCGAGCCGTCGGGGCTCCAAACCAAACATACACACAACCTCAAAAACATCCTACGGACTTATTCGTGTAATCAAATCACCAAAATAACGTCATGAACATCGAATTAAACCTCAAGATCAATGAAATTTCTCAAAACTTCTTAAACATCAAATTTTGCATTTAAGGTCCGAATCACGTCAAATGGATTCCGTTTCTTACCAAACTTTACCGACAACACATATAAATCATATTGAGCCTGTACAGGGCTCCAGAACCATAATACTGGCCCGATACCACAGGTTTCACATAACATTTCACTTTCAAAAACCTTTATATTTTTCAGAAAACAATTTCTTTCAAAAATTCATTTCTCGGGCTTGGGACCTCGGAATTCGATTCCGGGCATACGCCCAAGTCTCATATTTTCCTACGGGCCCTCCGGGACCGTCAAA